TATATATATTTATTTATTTTTATACTTTATATTTTTGCTATTTTGGACCTTGAGTACACAATTTGTTCCACCTGATGTACCACATGTGATGCAAATGACAATAAAGAACGTTGAACTTGAACAACAGTCTGCTTCTGTACTGAAAACTGCTGTGGTAATCCTTCTTACCCATCAGAAAGTGAAGAGGGTTCTCTTCATATTTCTTCACCACAGTTCCCATAAAGAACTTGCTTCCGAACAAGTCGGGCGTCATGAACGTTCCGTACTTCGCCATCCCAATTTCATAAGGGCTGAACTCTACCCAGTCTGCAGGTGGAAATCTCAGTGTTAATGTGCAAAAAATACAATACACTCCCTATTAAAATGTTTAGTAAATCTGTAAAAAATGGACTTTACTTCTTTTAAAAGAAGCTCTTTAAAGTCTTTTAGTGTGATACACAAATACAAAAGGGAACAGATACATTTCCTCTCGGGATTAATAAAGTATTTTTGAATTATCTTAAAATTTAAAAAACAACTCAGACAGAACTGCTGGTAATTTATCCCTGAGTATTATTTAAACTGCAATATAAGTTGCCAGTGAACTGGTTTATTGAGAAAAAAGGAGTGAAAAAAACTCTTTTTTTGTCTTTTTTACCCACATTTAAAAATAAATGTTGTGGCATGTGAGCTCTACGTGGGATAAATAAAGAAAAGCATGTAATTCTAGATTGAGAACAAGTCTGGTGTCATCTTTGAAAAGATCACTGTTGCAATGCACAATAGTCTCTCTTCATAAGGCACAAGGAACAAATAAATGGCTGGGAGTCAGTTTTCTCCCTGAACCTGGTGTGGGAGTGGGGCCCTGCTTGTTTTTGTGATCAAATCACAAGTAGGCATCTCTAAAAAAAAGGTTTGTTCCCACATTGCATTAAAATGTGTCCTTAGTGACGGGATCTCAGTTACTGCATGTAAATAAAGACGCAGCCAACAAAAAACACATACTCAGCTGAAGCACAAACAGAAAATCTGCATATCAACTTGTGTTCCTGTAAAATCACTAATACTTTACTTTCCGGAACGGATGTAATTTATTAGAAGTTAAAAAAATATATATATATATATATATTAAATGAATAATTTGTGATTGTAAGGTTCAATACAACATAAACTGAAACTAAGCCTTTTGTGGAACAGTGACCACATCAGGTGTCTCGTATCAGAGAAACCATTGAAACACACATTACACTGCTAAAACAAGTTATCTTTTCAACTTATCAACATAAAAAAAAAAGTTTATATAATTTCCTAAAGGGTTCCAACTTTTCAGATCAGTAAAACTTTCAGCCTGAAAATATTTCTGCTGTGTATTCACATAAATTGTTGTTGCATAAGCAGATTACCTAGCAGATGTGCATAATTTTTCAAGTTCATTTTACATGGTGTACTTTTTTCTGCAGCCTAAAGAGAAAAAAAAAATCATTCTGGTAATAATACGGCTGCTTCCCTTCCCTCACATCTGTAGGTTCTCCATTGAGGCTGCTCAGACCAGCACTAAATATAAGTCTGACCTCCCTCAAAGCACGCTGTGAAGGCAACTATTACATAAATTAATATAACTTTTTTTTAGAATATTACTGTATTTGAACTCATTGAGCTCAAAATCAAATGTATTTTAAAGTGAAAAATTATTTGAATAATTTACCGGTAGTGTTTCAATTTTGCTAGAAGATGTAGAGGTCATGACAACTAATAAAAGACTAAGAGGAAGTGCTGTATTGCCTGTGTTGCACAAAAGTAGTAGAGTCCACCATGAACATGCTCACAAAACTCAGTTCCTTGATTTAGCTGAGCTGCCGTTGCATCTGCCAACGCAGCGGTGACATCTTACATCATCACACCACAACCTCCCTGTTGCCAAAGTGCAACATTATAAGGGAAATGTGCCAGTGTTTTCATTTGCATGTGGTCCGACCAATTATCTGTAGTATCTCATTACATATGCAAAATAGATCAGGTGTGTGACAAATAGATGTTAGCTTAATAACGATTGTTACCTGCAAACATGAGCTCTGAAACATCTGGCTTGACATGCAAACATGTGAAGAGTGGGAGAGGACTCTGCGCCTGGTTTATTTTCTCCTGGATGCTACTTAGCTTGATGTCCATCCTCTGAAAAGGAAGTATTTTCTTTTAGTTTCTTACATGTACATTATATTTATGAGTCAAAATTCTGTAAATGAAACTATAAAAAAAAAAATTGGTGTTGATATGTCAGATGTAAATTTCAAACAAAAAGGCAACAAAGAACCAGTTCGATGGAAGAATCTGTCAAAGATCCAGGCATCGTAGGTAAAATTTACTGTAAAAACAACAAGGATTTTTACATTAAAATAAACAGCAGCTGTAAGGTTGCTCCTACCGCAGGTACAAGAGTCTCTCCTATGAGCATACCGAAAATATCGGTAAAGGTAACGGGCTGCCCTGAGGCCTTTTTGGTCCACAGGGCCTGGATGTAGTTGGTGATGTGTTGGGGCATCAACAACCTCAGTGGGTTACCACTAACTCTCTTCATCAGCTCACTGTTTATGTCCTTTGGGCCTTTGTCTGGAAATCCAGGGTGAGAGTAGAGAGTGGACATATACCTGCAGGAATAAAGAAGAACGCTTTAAACTGTTCGTTGTGAGTCCTATTATACTGCTTTTTGAAAGGTTTATGCAGAATGTTTTGAGAGAAGTAAATAAATAGATCTGATTTAAGCCAGAAGTGCTTACTTGATAAAAGATTATTACCATCAGAGGAAGGCAGGAAGATTTGCAAGAGCAGAAAGTTGCAACACAAAAGGGCAGGAAATGAAAAAGGAGGAAACAAATATATTGTATTGTGTAAAAGCATCAAGAAGCCATGTTTTCTAAAAATCCTAATGTGGTCTAGAGCAATAAAAGCCCGAGCTTTCAGGGGGCCTTTTATGTACTTCTTTTATTTCCCCCCACTTTGGCTAATCTAAGATTACTTCAAAATATTAAAATAATAGCTGCTTGGAAGCAAAAAAAAAAAAAAGAAGTAGTTAAATTTCTTTCCACTGTACATGTAGCTGTGATAAAGATAAGATCTCTTTAGATATATATATATATATAAAAAAAGTAACACTTTACAAAGAGGTACACAAAATTTGATTAACTACTAGGGAACACCTATGGAACGAATCAGGACCTAATGGGTAGTTAACCAGTACTGGGCAACACACAACCAAGCCTTTTTAGAGGACTACTGGTTTGTTACCACAGAAACAGAGGAGAAATTCTCCATTAGGTTTCTGAATAAACCCTGCACCAGTGAAGTCACAGCTTGTAATGGTCAAAAAACTGTTTCATATTGATTACTGATTTTATTGGATTTTCTCTTTTGTAAACCTATTGATGAAAGACATTATCAATTTCATAATTTTGTACTGCTGTAATCTTAACTATGTTTCTGTGGTAACAAACAAGTAGTCTCCTAATAAGGCTTGGCTATGTGTTCCCCAGTAAGTACTGGTTAACTATCCATTAGCTCCTGCTTTGTTCCTGATTTGTTTCTGAGGCGTTCCCTAGTAGTTAATCAATTTTTGTGTACCTTGTGCATGGACTTTTTTTGGTATCCATTAGCTCCTGATTCATTCCTCTTTGGTTTCCATGGTAACTACCATTAGTTCCTGATTAGTTGCTCTTTGTTTCCCAAGTAACTAACCAGTAGTCCCCTAATAAGGTTTGGATGTGCTCCCCATTAAGTACTGGTTAACTACCTATTAGCTCCTGCTTTGTTCCTGATTTGTTCCCGAGGCGTTCCCTAGTAGTAATCAAACTTTGTGTACCTTATTGTAAAGTCTTACCAAAAATAATTGTTGAAAGACATTACCGGTACATATAAAATAAGAACCACAAAAGTAAAGACAGACCATGTGGATCCAGAAAGGCCAGCAACATATGTGGCACAGTCCAGGATTCCAGACTCAAACAGGGCTTTCATCACACCAGAGAAGCCGACCATTGCACGAAAACCCCCTCCTGAACCTGCGATGGCTATTACCGGAACCTACAAAACACACGCAAAGTGACAGTCACAGAGGGAGGGAGAAAAGGACAGAGACACTGAGTCACATCATTAGCATTTACAAAGTACAACCGTGATCACAATTAAATTCATTCCTGCTCACTCTCAACTTGAGGAACTTTCCTCTGCACGGTGAGAATACCGAGCTAGCTGCATCATGTCTTCGCAGCATTCTTGTACCCTCAGCTATTTTATAATTTTTATTGTGCAACACTGGTTACTCTCAGGAGTCTGTTAAATCAAGCCTGAATTTTTCCATAGTTATACTCAAAAGGGAGCTGAGCCACGGTGTTCACAGTTCAAGGCAGTAAATGGATACTTCTTTTCTCTGTAGCTTCTGGTAGAATGAGGACAGGCCTGGCTGCAGATTACCGCCAGTACCCCTGGGCATCTCGCCAAACTACACTGGCGGGAAAGGAAGCATACCCAAAGATATGAGGGAAAAGGTTCAGGCTTTGTGTTGGAGTAAAAAAAAATAAAATGTTGAAATGGTATTTTAATCTAAGTTTGTGAAATGTCAGCAAGTCTAAACATTATTGCAGTGCTTAAAGTCAACTGACCACAGCGCTTTGATCTGTGTTGTTTTTCAGATATTTTGGATTTCTTTAATCTATTTCACTTTAATAAAGCTGTATAAAATAATCTATTTAGACATTGTGAATGCAAAATCTAAACAAATGCTGTGTCATGTTGTGGGGGAGGCTTTGGAAACCCTCTATGAATGGAAGGAGTGGGAAATAAATAGTAGCATTCTTGTTTTTCAAGTTTCCATTGCGTGGCAGCTATTAGGTCAATTTACATTACAGGCTGTTTAGTGGACTGAATAGACTGCACCAATTAGTTTCCCTTAGTTTATGTGGCTCTAGTATCCTTTTTTTTATGTTTTGCAGAGAGAAAGATCTAATTTATGGTTTGCTTGTGAACTAAAAGCAAACCTGACACATTAAAATCTCTGTGAACTATTGAGACGTGCTCATAGTTTGTCGTTTTCCAGGTTTTGGGATCTCCTGAGACATTACATCTGCAGCTTCACTTCGTTTTTTCACAACTATTTATCGTCCAAAAGCATAATTGTACAGGTTTCTGGCACCAACTCTACCAGTTCCGTTTATTTCAACGCTAACGCATCAGGTTTTGTTTAGTCTCGTTTCATCTATATAGCACCTATATTAAACAAGTATAAAAGGTAGCTGTCATGAATTTATTCTCGTTCATCCATCAAACTGAAATAAGTAATATAATAGCATAAAAGTTGGGTATAAATAAAAAATAGGTTATTTAGATAATTAAGTTTAAATGAGAATCAATCAACAAAATGAATTAAAAGCAATTTCCAGATTAAATGCAAGCACTGTAATTATGGTTAATTGAAAATAATTAGAATATAAGAAAGCAAACACAATGTGCTATGAGAAACGCCTCACAGTGATGACTCGTTACTGATGCTATCTAATCAGGTTCATCATATAAACAACACTGCACATCTGATTAAATTAGGTTATTACTGCAGACATTTGGAAAAGTTTCAGTTTCTGAAACATCGAAGCAATTCTCTTTATATATGTAGATCAGAACATAAAGGCCTGCCGCTCTGCGCCCACCTCCTCCGGAGCGCTGGGGAGAAAGCGAGGTTTCTCCATGTCCAGCAGCTTTTTAATGCCGAGCGTCACTCTTTCTCTGCGAGTTTGTCTGAACTGCTTTTCTTTGTCGCACAGAGCCAGGCTGAACCTCAGGTCCAAGTTTGTGCTGAAAAACCAATACAGCAAGAATTAGGTTTTATTTTATTTTTAAAAAATCATGTTTTATGGTTTCTGCTGAGGTGTGTTTAGAGTACATAACATTGAAAAAAAGCACAACTGAAATTTTGACACTGAAACTGATTTTTAGATCAGACAAGAACTGTTTTGAGGTGGTCTGGTGTTCAACATTTTCACGTCTTCTTCAAAAATCAGTTTCTAAAATGACTAAACCTTCAAGCTTTTATGGAAGCCGACTAATGCATCAACGGAATGACAGTAATTCATCTACACAATTTAACCACACAGGTATTTTACTGTAACTCATGCTGTTTCTAGTATGAAGCTATGGTTCTGCTGCAGTTAAAGGTTTAAGTTTATCTGTGACAGAACCATCCTACTCTTTAAAACAAGACAAAATATTCAACTGTGAAACGGAGTAAAACCACCTAAAATTATTTGTATACATACCAGATCTCCACTGTCATCTCCAGGTATACTTTGGTAGACTGTTAAAAGAAAATAATAATAAGTTATTGCACAATCTTTAGCTGTAGCCGGTGCCACTGCGGCTAACGTGAAAATATAATGAATTCAATTCAATACAAACTAATTAACTTAAAAGAATAAAAATTTCAATTGTCTAAAAAGACTTGATTCGTTCAAATCAGTCATGCGAAATAATAACCTTAATGTTAATAATATAATAGTTTATAATAAAATTTTCTGTATTTTCTATTTTAAAAATGTGTTATTACACTGTTCATAATTTTAAAAAAAACTTTGCTGTCAATTAAACATTTCCTCTTTTATGGTTGGAGTTCTCTGAATCTTTACAAAGATGAACATCAAGTTCATGCGCATTTCCTTGTAAACCATTATTTACACAGGAAGCCATTTATAAGAATTTAAAGCAAATTATCTGGAAGTTCAACCAGTGCTTGTAATGTAATGTAATGGTGAATGAGATGAGCAGCCTTACTTTGCCAATAGAGAAACTTTCCATCTTGGTTTGGCTCACTTCAAGCTTTGTGATGTCAAAGGACGCCGTCCCAAGAGTCTCATCCATGACATAATTAGCATCCATTAATGTTAACTGGTTGAAACAAAAAAAATACTGGTTTATGCTTGAAAAAAATGAAATAAAATGCGTCATCAACGAAGGCAGTGGTGATTCTAGCACGTGTTCAAGTTCACCTGAACAACTTGTGTTTCCAAGAATCATATTTCAGCAAGGTGTTAAATTAAGCCAACGGTAAACATGAATTCCAGAAAAATCTTCCATTTGTATATTTTGTTCCATGGTGATACTAAACAACGTGAGTCACTCTAGCGCTATTTTAAAGCGATGATGCTTCCAAATTACCTCATTTGATGCTAAAAAAAGTAAGCTGTGTTTACGTGGAATTGTGCTCGAATGCATCACTGCTTGTCTTCCTGTACTGGGCTATACAATGCAGGTCTAACCTCCAGGACATTGTGCTGGTTGGGGTCTAATATGAAGTGAAAGGTCTCGTTCCATTTCGGGTGGATGTCATTGTCTATGTGTTTGGTCCTCTTCCTGCTCTCCGGGGCCGTCGGGATGAACAACTCCACGTATGGATCTGGAGTATCCACTAAACACAAATACACATTCAACTCATTGTTATTATGATAATAGAATTATAATACAAATATAATAAAATTATAATAAAATAACCTAAAACCTACTTCCCAACTATTTTTCCCCTCAAAGCATTGCATGCATGCAACAAATCCTGAATAATGGATGTAAAATGTGTTTTAAGACTCACACAGGTCACCCAGTTTTCCTTTGGTAACGTTCTCTGCTCGGACCACCGTCACCGTAAACTTGTGAGAAAACTGTTGTTCCACCTGCAAAAGACCAACGCTTCAGTTTAATTTATGGTCATGTACGGGAAAATGAGAAACCACAGTGAAACAGATAGATCAAATCTGCTAGAGAAACAGAGATGTGGTAGAATCATATTGAGTGCAGATTTTCAGCAGTAATCATTGGGGCGGGGGGGGGGGGGGGTGACAGGCTGACTCTGATACTACAACTCATTTTGAAACTCTGCAATTCATTCCTCATCTGTTTTTACTTTGGTTTACATTGACGGTAAATACATAACTATTCATAACTATTGCCAAAGAAATGTGCAAATGCAAATTATTCTGGAAAATATTAGTTCAAAATATCCAAGAGGTGTCAATTTTATTATCTAAAGGAGTGTTTTATTTATTCTAAAAATGGTGGCAGATACCTCACTGGGCTGTGGTTGTTGGAGACTTGTTGGCAGCTCAAACTTGGCTCAATATTGATCCAAATAATGGCATTTTTGTTGCAAACTCATTAAATTCTGAGTGTTTTTGTGACCAGCGAGTCATGTGGTTCTACTTTGTTGGCAACTTTTTGAAACTTACAGCTTAAATTTGAGTGCACGGCTTGCAAAACTGTATTCTAGGCCAGGCTGTGGTGTAGTCTACAGCTTTGTAGTGGGAATACTGTGCTTAGAAACCAAAGTGCACCGGTTAGTACAATGAAATCGTCAATTTATTTTGATTTTGAAGCATAGTGAACATTTCCAAATTTCTCTGATGCTTATATTTGAATAAATGAACAACAAACTTTGTACAACAGTTGGCTTTGTATTAAAAACATGTTATAGAATCTATAAGAGTATCAAAGCGAAGCTCTGCATACGATATTGCTATGGAAGCGTGTAACTGCCGTTTAACATATCAATGACACATGCCTAATGATATGTCATGTATCACTGGGCACTTTTTAGTGGGTATACTGAAATTCTTAAGCTTTTCTAATTGGTATACTCCGTATACCCGAGTATCACGTAGACTACACCACTGAGGCCAGGGGTTCCCAAACGTTTCCATACCATGGCTCCCCATACAGCATTAGCTTCTGGCCGAGGCCCCTCTCACAAACCCACAAACAATGATATGTAAAGAAACATAAACTTTTAGAATGTTTTAACTTTTATTCACTATATTCAATTAATTATTTCAGCTGCTGGGCATAAAAAGGTTATTAGCTAACATGCTTTAAACACTGTATTATATTCCCACTGAAAAAAAAACCAACAACTTTTCAACAAACTGTTGACCAGAAGAACAAAACAAAATAAATCTATAAGTGTGTTTATCTGGAAATGACGATTGCCTGGTGGAAGGAATGGGCTTGGTGGCTCCTACACAGTTTGTCAAACCTGGGCTTAATGTCTGTCAGTGCCATACACGTCATTGTCCATGTGTAGACATGCTCTATGTTTTGTTTTGAGTACCTTTAAAGCCACAAGTTCTTTGTTTTTTTTGTAGCAGTTTCCACCACAGCAGGGCTGCTGGTCGGTTCCTTAAGTCTTTTTTAGAAACTTCTCCATTTCGTCCTTGCTATGCTAGTTAGCAGAGTAAAGCAGCTTGATACATTTGACTGGCAGCCAATCAGAAAGATAAGCATGGTGAAAAATATTTCAATATATTATTATAAAATATATTTTATAATAATTATGGTAAAATAGATTCAATTTTTTTATATTATATATATATATTTTTTATTGTTTTTGCTATTTTAAAATATTTTTTCCAGCTTTCTGACATGTCAGAGTAGGGTCCGTGTTTGAATAATGCAGAATGCAGGCAGAAGCAGGGATTTAATGAGCTTTGATGGCTATGAAAGGACAAACACCCCCTCAGCTCCAATTGTCTGCCCCCTTTATTCAGCCGAGTGCGTCCGTCGGCCGTTAATAACTAGATAAGCAGTCAAAGCTTAATTTAAAATGTCTGGGTATTTTATGTAATGCAGTGTGTGTTTATTCCAGTATTTTTCCAGATATTTTGTTTTCCAGATATACTGATAAGCAATTTTTCAAATGTGGGTACATCGTCACGGTTTGGGGTTTTATGCTGTTTTTGTTAATGTATGTGTTCCTGTTTTCATTGTCTGTTCATTGTTTACCATAATGCTCGATTTATTTCTGCCAGTGTTTCCTGTTCCTAGCTCTCTGTGTTTTTGTTATCTGATCGACCTAGAAATTTAGTTTGTTTTTGTTCCATAGTCATAGTTCTCTTCTGTTCCCTTGTATTGCCTGTCACTCACACCTGTTAACTATTCATAATCATTCCAGCTGTTCTCATTTAGTTATCACCCAGCCTATTTACTTATATTTTGTGTATAAGTCATCTCCAACTCATTGTCAGATCCTTATGTGAAACTCCCCTTGTCAGTACAGTGTAGTAGTAGTAGTTTAATTCCGTTTATTTATATAGCGCCAAGTTACAACAGAAGTCATCTCAGGGCACTGAACAGAAACATTCAGATATTAAAAAATATAAATAATAATTTAACATTCTTATCTGAGGAGTAGACTGCTTGGAGTTTAACTCCATCGCAGAACTCTCATCTTTAGCAAGCATGAAGGCAACAGTGGAAAGGAAAAACTCCCAAATGAGCAGAAACCTTTAACAGAACCAGGCTCAGGACAAGCGGACGTCTGCTTCAACCGGCTGGGTTTGGTAGGAACAGATACACAATGGCAGGTCAAGAATCACGTTAAGATAGAAATAGTATCAAATGAAAACAATTTCATTTTAGCAAATAATTTAAGGAAATGAGGTCAGTTTGTCCTCCAGTAGTGTAAGTCTATGGCAGTATAACACGCCAACCCTAACTATAGGATTTATCAAAAAGGAAAGTCTTAAACCCAGTCTTAAAATTGACCAATGTGTCAGCCTCACGGACAGAACCGCGAGTAAGCCTGCAGTCTGAGAGCGAAGTGCTCTGTTAGGAAAATATAGAATAATAAGATCTCGAATATAAGATGGACCTAGGTTGTTGAGAGCTTTGTAGGTGAAGTAGTAGTAGTATTTTTATTTTCTTTATTAAAAACACTTTTTTAGACTTTAACCTGACTCGCCGGTTTGTCACCTGCTACTTCTTCAGTCCTCAACTACCCACTACCCTCCACCAACATATGCACTTAAAGTTTACAAAGCTTTCAGATGAATTTGACCAAAGCCACATGGCAGCTTGAGTCACGTGATTGACTTACATTAGGTTAGCCATAGTCTGTGCCAATAAACAAAGTATGGCCAAATCAGACAATCGTAGAATCTCTGAGTTTAGGTGGAAATATAAGAGTGACTCTTGCTGCTAAACGCAAAAAGAAAAGTGAAAGTACGAGTATGACATCTGTCAAGAATAAATAACTGGGATCAAGCAGGGTGTTGGGTGGAGCGCTACCAAGTCAGAACTCGGAATATAAACATACGCAACATTTACAAAACTTCTGCCAGACCTGTAAGTTTCTACATTTTCTGTTCTAGTTTAACAGGTAAAATGTTTGTAATGTGAATCTTAATTTATCTCCAGTCCATGAAAAGTACCAAAATATCAAAATCATCAGACTCTTCAACTCCATACAACTTTTTAATAGATGACGTCATTGTTGGCTTATTTTCAGTCACTTTGGCTGCTTTCATAGATAAACACGCGGTAGTTCACAGCTGTTCACAAATGTATCTCACTCATTATTAGTTTAGGGACACCATCCATCCATCTATCCATTATCTTGCACTTGTTCCGAAGTCGGGTCGCGGAGGCAGCAGCTTGAGCAGGGAGGCCCAGACATCTCTTTCCACAAACACCTCTTGTAGCTCTTCTGGGGGGAGCCCAAGGCGTTTCCAGGCCAACTGAGAGACAAAGTCTCTCCAGCATGTCCTGGGTCTTCCCTGGGGTCTCCTCCCAATCGGACATGCCTGAAGCACCTCCCTAGGGAGATGTCATGGGGACATCCTTACAGATGCCCGAACCACCTCAACTGGCTCCTCTCGATGTGGAGGAGCAGCGGTTCTACTCCGAGTCTCTCCCGGATAACTGAACTTCTCACTCTGTCTCTAAAGGAGAGTCCAGCTACCCTGCGGAGGAAACTCGTTTCAACCGCCTGTATCCGCAATCTCATTCTTTCGGTCACTAACCAGAACTCGTGACCATAAGTGAGGGTAGGAATGTAGACTGACCAGTAAACAGAGCTTTGCCTTACAGTTCAGCTCCCTCTTCACCACAACGAACCGGTACAAAGTCCACAATACTGCAGACGCTGCACCAAACTGTGAATTTAGGGACATATTATTATTTATTTATTTATGTATTAACCTTTATTTAACCAGGCAAATCCCATTAAGATCACAGATCTATTTTGCAAGGGAGGCCTAGGCCTGAGGGCAGCCTAACATGCATGTTTTTGATCTGTGGGAGGAAACAGGAGTACCCGGAGAAAACCCACGCAAGCACAAGAAGAACATGTAAACTCCACACAGAAAGACCCCAGGTCAAACCGGGGATTGAACCCAGAACCTTCTTGTTGTGAGGCAACAGTGCTAACCACTGATCCGCTGTGCTGCCATTAACCATTAATATAATTTTAAAAATGTGTGTATTTTTTGTTACGTTACAATTTTTTTAACCAGTCTTCATGTGTACCTTTAATTTCATATAGTACACTTTTGAAATGAAAAGACACATATTTGGACTGTTTTTTAAGTAACTTATTTATTATTAGCGTGTTTTTTGTTTTGTTTTTTTAACCTGGACATGTTGTCTGTCAAAGGAGAGCTCCTGTTCGGGTGTCAAAATATAAACGGAGATGGGTTTGAGAAACCCGTGTCAGCTCTGTAACCATTTTGAAAGAAAATATAGCACACACTTTTTGAACATGTTCAACATGTAAGACCGCGAGCCCCTCGTGGTGCTGTTCACGAGATGACCGCCAGTAGTCACAACCCAGTGAAATACTACTTTAATCTTACAGCGACTCAAAGCAACGCTCTTCATCGAGTCAGTTCCTATCATCTCGTTTGACGGATCGCTTCAAAAGAATTTTCCACCATGGTATTTTTGTACCAGACAGATTTCACAGCTATTTATTTCAACCAATCTTTGCAGTTGCTAAACATATTTGCAAGTGACTCAATCGTACATATTTAAATTATTTACTTCCTGCTATAATTAATTATAGGTTTACTCATTGGTTACACCTTTTGAAAGCTTTGAATGAATGAAAATCAAATCGTCTGAACTAGTTTGTATTTGCTCATTTCCGTGGCAATTATTCTAGGCCCTTTCAGCTCTGAAAAATGTAAGTTTCAGCACAATGATCTGTCTATGAGAATTACTTTGTAAACAGCTTTTCTTTTTTCAAAAAATAAATCACATTTGTGATCCTAGCAAGCCAAATGGAAAGCAACTAGAATTCTATTTTGCTTAGAGAGATCTTTTCTTATCGAAGGACTTGTTGGAATCTAAAATGACATCCAGTTGCCTTTGTTTCAACTTGCTAAGATTACCAAACCTTAAATGGCTGAGAAGCTACACCTATCTTAAGATAGACAATCTCAAAGCCTTTGTAAAAAAAAAAAAAAAAAAAGCTTTCAACTGTTGTGTTTAAAATCTGCAAGTTAGCTCGAATTAAATGGACGTCCAACAGATGTAAACGAGCCTGGCATTGCTGCGCAGGCACTCCACAGATTACCCTGACAATCACTACAGTAGTAATCAATCTGACCTTGATGATGACATTTTACCCACTGTGCTTGTTTAATGAATGAAATGCATTCTTCTGTGCTGCTGTTGAACAAAGTCTCATCTGATCTGAGTACTTCTGTGGAATAAATGTTACATCTGGTGTCTGCCCTCTGCTTGTCAATATAAAATGAGCTGTTTACTCACAATTATATTGGAGGCCATGGTGATGTGTGGAGAGTATGTTTTAAGAAAGCCTTTGATGAACTTTTACTCAGAAGAACATCTCAGTCACAAACTGCAGCTTTCCGAGTCTGAAAAACAAAAATGTCAACGTAAATTGAGACTATCAGATTATAGGACAGTAATGCATAAAAGAGACGATCTACTTTTGACAATTACTAGGTAAATTCGAAAAGCTGCTCAAGTCAAAGAAAAAAAAAAGCACACATTGCTTTTAGAAGTGTCATTATTAGTACAGCCTTTTGCATCTTGGCAGGGGTAAGAGGAAGTGTGCTGAGCCACAAAGTTGTGATAAGACAACCATAGCTTTTGTCTTTTATTATCACAACAGCATTCAAAACCAGCAACTTAAAGGGGCACTCTGTAATTATTGGACCCTAACAGTGGACTCTAAGTACAAAGTGGTGTCTGAGCATTAGATTAAGGTTAAAATAACATTCTGATTAGGATTAGTGAAATGCATTTAGTTTGAATTGACTGTTTAAGATAGAGCAAGGCTGAGAATGCTTAGTGTCAGTCTTCATAGAGATATGGAGACAAATTTAAAGTGCATGTGTGCTGCATGCACAGAATGCCAGGAAAGGGATGTGCATCTCTGATGCTCATATTATGAATAAACAAATGTGTTGTTACGTTCACTGCAGTAAAATGTAAAAATGGGTGTGCGCGTGTTTGCAGAAGAGGTGAGACTTTTGAGCAACATTGAGGATTTCTCTTTATGAGAGTGGTGCACAAGAATTTATATGTGTGACGTGAGAATGTTGAGTTGATTTAGCCTTTTCCCAAATGCTCAGCAAAGCGTCTCATTACTGAGACTGACTGGGAGCACGTAGGGAGTCCGTGCGTTCACCACAGCAGTCACGTACTTTGCAACAGGGGTCCAACTTGTGCCAGTTTTGGAGCTGCCCTGGTTCTGCAGCATACAATAGGCACATGCAGGCTCTGAATGGGCGCCAGAATAACTCAGACCTCCCGGCACTAAATTTTCATATGAGGCTGCAGAGTGTAAAAAAGGGGTGAAAATAAAGCTGCCACAATGCAAAGCAGCTGCAATGAATGCACCTTTTAATAGACACAAAGCTTCCTCATATGCAAAATCACTTCCACCTGAGACACAAAACAAACAAACAAACAAAAAGACAGGGAGAATTAGATGCTTCTTTTATTGTCCAGGATGACTTTTACAAATAAAAGCAGTGCAGTTTAGCTGCACTGAAAACACCACCAACAGGTTTTGCCTGCTCCTTAGCAGAGCTGATGAACAAGGACTCACAAAGAGATGTGCAACTAGTGATGATGTTATTGCACTGCAGCTGATTAAGACAGTCAAACTTGACGACAGTGAAGGGAGGTGATCGAGACTGGAGATAAAATACGCATTCATTTGTAGAATAACCTACAAATAAGACGTTTTGTAAGTATGTATTGTTAAAAGTGATGTTTTCAGACAGGACAGTTAAAATATTACACGTTGATTTCCGTATGTAACAGTGTGTTTTCAGTTTCCTTGTCCACTGAGTGGCTAAAAAGTGAGGTTTCAAGAACTCAGTGCGCTTGCACCTTTCCCCTTCCCTGCACTTTTGAGACGTCTCTTTGATCCAATGGCCAACATTTTGTGTTTTTAAAGAAGAACGGAGCTACGTACCTTAACGGGAACACGCTGTTAACTAATAAATCCTGTTGAATGCTTCATGTTGAACGAGAATCCCGTTCCACCGCCGGAGTGAAGAGGAAGGAGACGCCTGTCGGCTGCGCGCAATGCGCACAACCCGCAGTCAGTCAGGAACTGGAGGGCTCTGCAGAAAAAAAAAAAAAAAAAAAACTTAGGCTATATCAGGGTGGTCCGCAAAGGTGATCAACAATTTAAGAAAAACACGACCCAGCCAGCACCAAGGAGCCTTGGAAATCCTAAAAGACTGACTCAGCAGAGGAAAGTGCGGCTCGCTGCGGAGGAACTCCTCTCCAGACACAGACCAGTGCGTAACTTCCTCCACATGCGGCAGCACTGACGACGATGTCTTTTCTCCCTCTCTCTCCTTCAATTAGAGATTAAGTAAAAGTAGACATATATAT